CCTGTGCTGTGTCTGAGGTGTCACCAAGTGTCCTTCACACCCCTGTGTTTCTGCAGGGCTGTGAGGTGGCAGCAGCCACATTTGTGCCACATTTGTGCCCCGTGTCCCACCTTGCTCTGGGAAACTGAGGCATGGTGGGGTGTCTGTGGGAGTGCTCCTGGAGGGACAGGGACAGGGACAGGGATGGAGACAGGGATGGGAACAGAGGCATGGACAGGGATAGGGACAGGGACCGGGATGGGACAGGGATGGGGACAGGGACAGGGATGGGGATAGGGATAGGGATAAGGATAGGGACAGGGACAGGGACAGGGATGCGGTCGAGGACAGGGACAGGGATAGGAACAGGGACAAGGATGGGGTTGAGGATAGGGACAGAAGTAGGGACAGGGATTAGGATAGGGACAGGGATGGGGATGGGACAAGGACAGGGATAGGGACAAGGACAGGGACAGGTGTAGGGACAGGGATGGGGACAGGGATAAGGATAGAGACAGGGATAGGAACAGGGACAAGGACAGGGACAGGAATAGGGACGAGGATAAGGATAGGGCCAGGATCAAGGACAGGGACAGGGATGGAGATAGGGATAGGAACAGGGGCATGGACAGGGATAGGGACAGGGACAGGGAGACAGGGATAGAGATAGGAACAGGATCAGGCCCAGGGCCAGTGTGTCCCCTCCCCAGGGAATCCCGAGCCTCCTCCCCGTGCAGGCCCGGCAGTGTGTAGCCCACAGGCACTGTGTGTGTGCTGCAGGTGAAGGTGGGGTTCCTGTTGCAGGGGAAGGTGTGGTTGTGGTTCCCGTTGCAGGGGAAGGTGTGGTTCCAGAACAGGTGTGGTTCCCCTTGCAGGGTGAATGTGTGGTTCCAGAACAGGTGTGGTTTCTGTGTGCTGCATTGAAGGTGTGGTTCCTATTGCAGGTGAAGGTGTGGTTCCACAACAGGTGTGGTTCCCGTTGCAGGTGAAGGTGTGGTTCCAGAACAGGCGGACGAAATACAAACGGCAGAAGCTGGAGGAGGAGGGCCCCGACTCGGACCAGAAGAAGAAGGGCTCGCACCACATCAACCGATGGCGCCTGGCCACCAAGCAGTCGAGCGGGGAAGACATCGATGTCACCTCCAACGAC